CCATGCTAAATTAAGCTTTCTATCTTCCTTTACCCTCCTTCATAGGATTATATTAGGTTAAACCAGATACAATTCTGCTTTCAAGTCAAAATGGTTAAATTTCATATGGTTCAGCCTAGTAATTCAACTGGTTTACAGGAGTTAGTCTATTCACACCAGCAAGAAACTAAGACAATCAACTGACCATATTTAACTAGCATAACATATGATAAATTTTCTCAGGAATAATTTATAAAATTATTTTCAGTAATAAGCCTTCTAGAAAACTTAATCACAATGGCCCAAAGGGACTAGGTGATGTGGCTGTTAAGAATAGTGACAATTTTATCAATAATTGCATATGTACTCCAAACCTGTGGCTTTGAATATGTAATTGGGTCCTACACTAGAAATTGACTTCTAGCACCTGGAGACTCTGTTTGGATGCTCTACTATCCGCTATTCATCTTTCTTCTCTAGAAACAGTTTAAAAACATTAATGCTTAATTTCAATGTAGTATATATGTATCCCACTGTGGCTTTCTTCCTGTTCCTACAGCTATTCACCCTGTGGTCCCAATCTTTCCTAGTTTCACACTCTGTTTTACAAAGAGCCCTAATCTCTGGGGGTTGGATTGTGACAAGGAGTAATGAACATAGCCAAAGTGATGATGTACCTGGTATTGGGTTAAGAATTATGATGGAATGCTACATCTCCTCATGACAGGGGCTTGCGTCCTTAATTGAAAGGGTGACCGTGTAATTCATCATCCAAAGATGGACACTTTTTGAGAGTGAAAGCTGACCTATTAATAATTACAGTAGGACAACAAACTGAAACAGAGACCATTTCAGGCAAATGGAGACATAATTACACTGTAATCTGAGCATTTCCTCACAACACATCCTGTGAGATACTCTCTGTAAAATAGCTCACTAGAGAGTGATTTAGATAACAAGAATGAAAGGTCACAATGTGTTATTACCTATATAGGTTAACTTTATCTCCTTAAATTTTCACATTCCAGATTTTAGCTTTCTGTAGGACCCTGTGGTAGATTCTACACATTTTGTTTCATGATTTCTGGAAGACGGTACAAAATTTTCTGATTTCCCTTGTGTTTTTCTGGCTTCATTTAGAAGGAAGGAAATTTTCTTCCTTGAGGTCATATATTGTTCTGTTATTCACAAAATACTTTGTTCTATATCATGCTTCTTCAAATATAATCCTTTCTAATTTGCTTAGATAATTAATGAGTAAATTAAAGTAAAATTATATGAGAATATTTGGTGAATTAACTTTAAATATTGAAGGACAAAGTATAGAGTGTGACAAAATCAGGTCAAAAGTCAAACAACTCATATTTTAATTTTATCTTTGCTATTAACCATCTGTGACATTAAGTAAGTCCCCATATTCTCAAAGAAACAAAGTAGAGGAGAAAACAGTTTAAGTGCCCTCTTTGTGCTAGGATTGTGTGAAGCTATATATGAATCTCATCGGTCTCCTACAACAGCCCTGTGACAGTAACACTACATTCCCCATGTGCGAGTTCGTAAGATGAAATTTACTAACTTGCCCCAAACTTTCACTTAGGAAACAGGAAGGAAGGATTTAAATCCAATTCTGTCTGCAAAATACATGCTGTCAGTCAACAATTTGTTTACTTATCTTAAAAATGGGAATCTCTTCCATGATTCAAAAGATTGTTATAAAGATTCAAAGACTAAATGGACGCCAAATGTCTAAAAAAATTTTAAACCATCTACATATTTCGGTATTACTAGAATCCTTCCCTTATATTTTTCTATTCATTTCTTGATTATTTTTTTTCTTGATTCACTAATTCAGGATTTAAATGAAATTTTTGGAATACTCATCACATTTTATAACAAGAAAATAGATCAAAGCATTTCACAAAGAAGTATTTAATTCCCTTTGATTCCACAAGTGTGACAACCTCACACTGGGACAGCATGTCTATTCCTGAGGACTCACTGCCTTGGGCATTTGCATCTTTCTATTATCATTATCCTAGGTCACTCTGACATTTCAAAACAATGCCTTGTATTTATATTGGAAGGCTTTATTAAACTAAGATACAATTTGTTTTTAATTAATAGGTCATTCCACTTTCATCTATAAGATGACATTCTAGCTCAATCAGCTACAGCACTACTATTTAAGACAAGAGAAAAAGGTGAAAGGAGAACAAGGCAATCACAAGGTTAGTCTCTATTTCCAAAGCATCACCTGAGGCTTCATTCAGATAATTTCAATTAACTTTTATGGAAGTTACTCAGCTAAAACCCCAGCAAATGCTACTGTAACTAGATTAAGTGCTCCAGAGCTATACAACTGCTGAGGAATTTATACTATCCTTTTTTTCAAGTGTACCAAAAAATATTGCTCCCAAAACTGACCTATGTGACATGTTCCCCATGGTCTAATGCAAATTAAGATGACTGTGATATAAAGATCTCTGAGACAAGGGTCATAATGGAAACATTAGCAGACCCTTCACTACAGAAGCCCTGCAGGGGGCCATTAAGATATTTTATGGAAGTACTAGTGCCAGCCGGGAAGCAATCGGCAAAGAGCAGGAAACATAAGCAACTGTAAAAAGAAAACAAAACAAAAACCCAATAAGAGACAATGAAGACATCATTAAAAACATAAAGGCAATGAAAATGCCTATGGTGTATTTTCCATTATCTGTGACCTTGGGTTTCAGTTTTGGCTGTGTGTTCATCATCAGTTTAAGAAAAATACTGCCTTAGACTCCTAGGCTCACACATTTTTTGCATGATTCCTTAGAAGAGGAGGGGCAGAGCCCTAAGCTAGCTGTCAAAAAACAATTTACTATAAATTGTGAGAGTAAAATATCCTGTAAGAGTTTTCCCTCTTTGCTCTTCATTATTGTCTCTCAGGGAACCAACCCAGGATGACAGGAAGATAAAAATTAGATTGAGGCCTTTTACACTGTTTTGACTGTTCATATCCTCCCTGTGCGTTATTTATATTAACAAATTCAGTTTTCTACCTCAAAAGACAGCTGGTTAACAAAATGCTGTTGAACAAAAGAGATCTCTTAGGCATGGTTACATTGTCAGGTTATCCCAGATTAGAATCACAGATAACAGTGATCTAGCTATAGAACTGTATTACTCAATGGAGATTGTGATCCAAGTTTGTGTTTTCCAACAAGCCCTTTTAAAAAATAACAGTGACTAGGTTCCTCAACCCCTAATGTGTTTGTGTTTAGTTTCTTCTGTAGTTTTTTTCTTTAGCATAAAACCATTTTTTTTTTTTTTTTTTTGCTTCAAATGAGGTAGGTATTATTTATTCTAAGTGAAGTGAAAAATTTGGGCTAATTTCTGAACTTCTTTCCATCATAAAATACTTCATTCCAGGTATCCTAAGGTTAAATTCTATTTTCTCCCCAAGGTTAAATTTGATGTCAGCACAGACTATCAGAAAAATAACACTATTTCTTCCATTTGCTTTACATGTATAAATTCAGTCTTTACATAATCTCTTTTTTGTAGAACACTAAATTAAATGTGCTACAAAGTCTGTATTTTTCCAATATGTAGTTGATGTTTGATGAAAAATTTGGCAACTTAATTCTCATAGAAATGATTAAGTAGAATTATATTGGCAAGGCTTGGCTATCACGTAATGTTTGGGAGAGTGTATAGGAAGAGAGTGAAGAGGAAAGTCTTTGCTTTTCTCTTTCTCCCTCATCGAATAATGTTTCTATGAGAATCTTTTATAATCAAAATTTAGGTCCTAAAGAATTAAGCATGAAACACATTGGGGTTTAAATTTTGTGATCAGTCTGCTATAGATTGCTTTGTTTTCCTTAAAGTCACTTTCCCAGTAAATTAAGTTATATTACCAATTTTTTTGCTCATTATCAAAACTTTTTCCCCTTCAGTTTTCTACTGGTGCAACTCTAAGTAAAAGATCCACTTTGAAAATCATTAGATTTGAACTGGAAAATAGAAATTATTTGCACAGAATATTGTATTTCTCTTCATTTTTAAAATCTTTCAGAACTGACCTATAGCATTCTTGCAGCTTATATCTAATTAATACTTGAGGATTTCTCTTTGTACCTGATGGAGTTCAGGACATTATAACCTCAAATATGGCACCTGGGCATATTGAATATTTTAAGCTGAAGGAGTTTGAGAAAATGGCAGAAGCAGAAAGGTCACTCTGATCTTCTCCCCAATCCTTCTCTATTGAAACAGATCATTTAATTCTTATGTGAGAGGAACCCTTCCTATGCCAGAGGAAAAGAGCATCCTTATCTCTGAAGACAAAGATACTCCAAGAACAACCCTAACAAACAGGCCATGCTAAATCTTCCCATTACTATACTTACCTCATACTCTCTTTGGGAAAAATTAATACTCTAATAAAAGACAAATAGAGATACATTCCATGGTTGTGGATAGAATTTCTTGATGTTATACAGATAACAATACTATGTCTATTCTTCTATAAATTTATTGCATAAACCAATCAAGATTTATTTAGATATTTGAGGACACAATAAAGTTACTTAAAAGTTATTTGGAAAATAGAGGTCCACAAATAAGTACAACCTTAAAAATGAAGAAATAAACAAGGAGAATTTATTTTATAGATTTTTAAAAATTAAAGTATAATTAATACACAGTGTCATATAAGTTTCAGGTGTACAGTATGATTCAAGAGTTGCAGGGGTGCCTGGGTGGCTTAGTTGGTTGAGCGTCCGACTTTCGCTTAGGTCATGATCTCACGGTTCGTGGGTTAGAGCCCCGAGTCAGGCTCTGTGCTGACTGCCAGCTCAGAGCCTGGAGCCTGTTTCAGTCTGTGACTCCCTCTCTCTCTGACCCTCCCCTGCTCACGCTGTCTCTCTCTCTCTGTCTCCTAGAAATAAATAAACATTTAAAAAAAAAAAAGAGTTGTAAGCATGACCCAGTGCTCATCACGGTAAGTGTATTTTTAATCTTTATCTAGTTCAACCCCAAATAAGGAACACTCCACGAATTTGCATGTCATCCTTATGCAGAGGCTATGCTAACCTCTGTATTGTTCCAATTTTAGTGTGGGCGCTGCCCAAGAGAGCACTGTTCTATAAGATTTTAAGATATATATTCTGAAATGCAGGCCCTGGATCCTGCACTTTCACATGGAAAAATGGTAAGGATTCCACTAATTTTCTTTCAGATCCTAAGGAAGGCAGCCCAAGGAAAAGGTAAAGAATTAAATAAAGGCCTAAAAGACTGTCCCCACTTGTGAGGTAAAGTAATTCCAGCTAGTGAAAATGTGAACTAATGAAAATCGGCGATTTACCAATAGGTTTAGCAACTCTTTCAACCTTGAATAATAACACATGGAGAGATGGGAAGAGGTTCTCTTATATGCCAAAGGGTGGAAACGATGGAGAGTCATCTCTGAAGTGAGAGTGAGAGCATGAGGATTGAGGGGAATGAGCTCCTTCTATAAAAATATTCTATCATATGGGTGTTTCATAAGTCACTGAACCATTCTTAGATTCTTGATTTGTGCCTAATTGTTTAGCATAAGTAATACTATGATATATTGGTAAATTTAAAATATTTGATACCTGTTTCTGTCTGTCTATCCATCTGTCTCCATTGTTTGCAAAAATACACACACACACACACACACACACAGCGATAAAGAACCTTAAATATCCGTTTACATAAGTACTTGTAAGATGGCCATTTACTTGAGTGATGAGCAGACTCACATTTGCCCTGAGTAAGATTAGTATAGTTCACTTCACCCAGTAGCTTTCTTTCCACTTGTTTTCCATTCATATTGACTCTGAAGTCAATAGCCTAGGTGTGACAATCAATAGGCACCATTTTGATACATTCATTAGCACTTACCTAGGTGACTGAGACCTGCTTGGAATCTCAAGATGCTATGGTAAGACAGGGTTCACAAAGGAGAAACCAACTCAAGGCCAATGTCATATCAAGGATTTTGCTATTGTTCATAGCTGTTCTCGAGTTGGGCCTAAGTTTAGCAAAACTGCCTTTTTTAATATTAATTAAAAAAATTAATTCTGTCCCCAACTCAGTATGAATTTTACCAATATAGTAAGGCTAGATTAAAGCAAATGTAATTCTTGTATTTATTCAGACTCCCTTCCTCCCTTTTCTTAATATTTCCACCCAAAGTTTACCATTCTCAGCTTGGTTGTCTGTGGGAAAATATTTTTAAATATTCTAGAGTCTTTCTCCTTTTTGTCCTCTCAAACAGTATTTAATAAAGCTAAAAAGATGACTGCTTAAATTATTAATACCTGTCTTTTATTTATTTACTTCCATTCAATGAATATTAAAATTTTTTTATTTTTATTCATTTTTGAGAGAGTGAGAGAGAATGAGAGTGGGGGAGGGGTCAGAGAGAGAGGTAGACACAGAATCTGATGCAGGCTTCTGGCTCTGACCTGTTAGCACAGAGCCTGACATGGGGCCCAAACCTGGGAACAATGGGATCATGACCTGGGCTGAAGTTAGACACTCAATTGAATGACCCATGCAGGTAACCATTCATTCAATAAGTATTTAAAGAGGGACATCATTCTACCATTCAGAGTGCTTGATCTGGGGGGGGGGGGGAGGGACCCCACCATGATCTGTGCTCTATGAAGCTGATATAAAACAAGTAAATAATTATAAATTATAATGAATGAATGTTATGAAATAAGTAAAATGGGAGCTGAGATAGAAAATAACAGAAAGGAATGATTTTGGATGGAACATTTTCATAGGCAAATCGAAGTGGGGAAGCCCCTGTGACATATTTTTTTCTGATGTACATAAATGCATTCATTTAAACTTCAGTAAGATCATCAAAATATGAATATAGCACATGAGTATTATTTAATGAACTAGTAGAGATAAATTTATCACAATTCTATCAATTCATTTTGATGCATCAGATAAAAATTCCGAAGTTCTAAACAAAAACTTGTCTTGATGATATTATCAGTAATTGACAATAGCAGATTTGGGCCATCTCATTTTAATCATGTAACTAAGTTGGCATATTCCCTAGAAGCCACACCAACTAGCACCATGTCAAGAAGTTTGTGGGAAGGAATTCCAAAAATGGGACACCCAAGGGCTAGGATCTGAGGTGTTCAGCAGAGAAGCTCTACTGCAGAAGAGCCAAATCACTACTCTCTACTTCTCAACCAAGGGCCCCAAGGGGTATATGTGTATGTATGTGTACCTATGTGTGTGTGTGTGTGTGTAGAGAAGCCATTGAGACTGTGCTCTGCAAGTGTAACCTGAAGATAGTGAAAATCTGACACAGAAAATCTGATAGAGAAGACAAGATTTCTTGTGTGCATCCAAAATTATTTTAACAAATCAGTCATTTATAAATAACTACATTACATCTTTCATGATTTCTGTATCTAAGTACTAACATGAAGCACAAAAGATGCCTTAATTCACATCAAGTTCATATAAAGCTGTATAAAGACATTTTTGGAAGACAAATTGCATTTGCTCTGGAGCTTTGCAGACACATGCATAAAAATACCCCCAGCAAATATCTGCAGCCACTTGAACACATACCATATCCTGTGATTTCTCTGTATATCAGATGCAGCTGGGATGATTTAAAAATTATTTTTAAGAATGTATCTAGCTTACATTTTTAGAATGTAGGTTCCAGCCAATAGAGGAGCTAAATGATCCTTTATTGCCACACAGCTCTTATTACCTCTCCAGGAAATCAGCAGTGTAAATATTCCACCCTGTGTCAACTAACACAGAAACTGGTAGAGCGAGGTTGCTGGAAACCTGGCATAGTGTGTAAATTCACAAGAATCCATCAAGCTCTTCTATTATTTATACGGTAAGATTTGTAAGCTGTCTGTAGAGTAACAGGTGTAGCCCCTATGGGTCAACAACCACCTGAATAATGCATGGGAAAAGGAAAGCACTACCACATACACCACAGTTTGGTATTGTTCATTTTTGGGATTAGCTTTGCCTATAATGGCTGCCTAAAAAAATCTTCCTTAGCAGTGATCCATATGCTATATAGCCATGATGATGGTTAAAACCACTTCCTTTATGTTTGACAGACCAATGTTGAATCCTGGTTTCACCTGTTACTATTTTCTGCTTTTTGTTTGGTCAAGACACTTTAAACTCAGTTAAAATTCAGTCTCAGTTTCATTATCTGAAGAATAAGGAAAACAATATGTTCGTATTTGGTTTCTAGTTAGTGGAACACTAACAACTGGATTTTATTAAAGATTTACATACATGAAGGTCTTAATTATTAGATAGAAGGGACAGAGATAGAAAGACAGTTTTGGGGGGCACTTGGGTGGCTCAGTCAGTTAAGTGTCCAACTTTTGATTTCGGCTCAGGTCACGATCTCAGGGTCGTGAGATCGAACCCCACATGGGGCTCTGCACCAGGCATTGGACCTACTTAAGATTCTCTCTCATACATCTGTCTGCCCCTCCACTGCTCAAGCTCTCTCTCTCTCTCTCTCTTTTCCAAAAACTAAGGCAATTATTTTTATTTGGAAATTACTAAGGTCAAAACTATGTGTTATAAGAAGTTGTATATTATAATGAATTATTGTCATTATACATTCATTTAATACAGATTCTGGATATCATCAACAGTAATCACAGAGAATATGTTTGTGTGGGGAGGCAAAAGGAGCAGAACCATGGCACCCTGGAGTTCCTTTGCTAGATTAGACAATAGAACTATCATGTCACAGAACTTCTGTCATTGAATATTATCATTTGAACAACAAAATGCTAATCTAAAAATAGCTTATTGAGAGTTAAGTAGCTATTATAACCCACTATATGTAAAGGAAATCTCATTTAGAAGGATGTATATGAAGGATAAGGAAGACTAAGTGAATTGACTGAGGTTTCCAGTTAGTAATGGAGGAAAATATGCTAGTCTACTATTAATAAGCCACAGACAATGGAAATGCAAAATGATTGTACAACAGTAACAATTCTAATAATATTATCTAGTATTTGCTGAGCATTTACTGTGTGCCAGGTGTGCTGCTAATGTGCCTTATGTGTCACTGCCTCCTTTAATTCTCACAATAACCCTAAGACGTAGGAACAAATATTTTGGTTTTCTAGATAGGAAAGCTCAGGCTAAACAAGTTTAAGTAAGTTGTCTGTGGCTACCCAGGGAACAGGAGATTAAGCCAGATGCCTTTGACTCTAAAGTTCAGATGGATATGGCTCTTTAAAATTTTTCTAGTCTAAACTTAACAGGATTATTTTGCTCCTCTGTAAACAACCAGATGAATATTTTTGCTATGCTGCCCAATGCAATCGAGGCAATGACACATGAGAGGGATGGATGCCTACCTTCCTCCAATGAAAGTGTTTCTTTTAAAAGTAATGGAATGAAATTTCCATGAATCTTGTCAGCTTTGTTTTGAAATTTTCTTACGATGACTCATAAGCATAAAAACCAAAGCTGCCATGAAAGACGGAGAATCTAAACAAAGTTGGAAAAAATGTATTTTTTGAGTCTCTACAATACTGTCAATTCACTTTATTTTTGTGGCCTTGTTTTCCCTAGGACATAAATATATTTCTGTCTGTGGAGGAAGTGTCACATGAGGTGAGCCACATTCTTTATAAAAGAACTTCATTTATCCCCCAAATGATATGTTATGTCATTCTTAGAATTCTGTTGTGAGCCCGGATGATAATTCATAATCTCCCTACCCTTTGAGTTTGAAGGCCTTACAGATTTTTTACAGAACCTATCCTCATAGTTAAGAGTTAAAGAGCAGAGATCCAAGGGGCACCTGGGAGGCTCAGTCCATTAAGCAACCAACTCTTGATTTCTGCTCGTGTCATGATATCATGGTTTGTGACTTCAAGCCCCATGTTGGGCTCTCCACTGACAGCATGGAGCCTGCTTGGGATTCTCTCTCTCTCTCTCTCTCTCTCTCTCTCTCTCTTCTCTCTCTCTCTCCCTCTCTCCCTCTTTCTCTGACCTACCCTTGCTCACACGTATGCACTCTTTCTCAAAGTAAATAAATAAATAAACATAAACATAAAAAAAGAGCATGGG